TGCCGAGGTCAGGCTCAAGTTCTCGACGCTGTCAGTTCGGGCGCAGGTGTAGCGCAAATCACGGCCCTGGTATGCAGCCGGACCGAGGTATAAGATCGAGGTCGATTCGGGGAGGGTAATTGCCCTAGCGTTTGTTTGTTTGTTTGTTTGATGGTCTTGTGAATCCTGGGGAGGGCCCCCTTGGATGTTCTGTGCGTTTTGGCCGACGGAGGTTCTCGTGCTCTTGAGGGATGTTCCTCATGCCTGGTCTGACTGCAATTAACCACACGCCAAGGACATATCCATACCCGTGGACGGGAGTCGTGACGCAGGGTCAATGTCGATCTGGACGATTTTGTTGGTGTCAATCTCGGCAGGTCCGATCCGATCCGATTCATGTGTTTCCCTAGCAGTGGCGAAGCGTCCTGGCTCGCCTGTAGGCCGACCAAAGAATGTTCTAATAACCTTTTGTGGTTTCAACGACATGTTCTTAGAACATTTCTGGCTGGGATTGTCTTGTTTCAACACATCGGATTCATGTTCTAAGAACATTGTATTCAAACTTAGAACATTTCTGGGTCCTAAGAAGTTTCGTGGTAGGCCTAAAAAATGCCGGGGCGGTCGGTCCCTATTCAAGTTTCGGGCGTTGGTAGAAGTGCCCTTGGCCCAAGTTGCCCCCAGGATTCCCAAGGAGGCCAGGCCCCACGGCCTCCAGAGCACCTCTCACTAGGCCCAGAGGTCCCCCAGGGGCACCACAATGGAGCGAGAAGCTGGGGGCACCTTGGGCCAGGGGCACCCTTAGCAATCCCCGACTTTTTTTCTGTTGATCGGAGGCGGCCAGATGTGTGCGTGGCGCTGTTGCGCATCCTGGCGCAGCCGATCCGATTCGATTTCGGATCCGTGCCGATGCAGCCCGATCTCATTGGCGTTCCGCTTCGATCCCCGCTTCGATACTGACTGATCTTGCTTGGAGGGGCGGGCATGTTCACATCCAGCGTTCCGCGACATCTTCGAGGGCACGTCCACAAGTTTGTGGACACAGACCATTCCCATGCGTAGAGCTATACACCTGGGCCAAGGCGGTTTCGTAGTTCGTGCGACCAGCTTTCCATCCTCGCACAGCCTGGCCAACCAGATCCTCGACCCAGCTTTTACGGTCTAGGGTGACGTCCCTTGACCCAGGCCCCCGGAGACCAGGACACATATAAACCAGGACACGGAAACCAAGGAAGCGACACCCTTTCCTGCAAAGTCACATTTTTCAGCTTCTGTGCATTTTTGTTTGCTGCACTGCAGGATTCTGGTTTCTGTCCTGGTTTATGGGGTTATGCAGGCTTTTAGAGCCTGTCTCAGCGTTTATTCTGGACATGCTGCAGTGCAGTATTCTATCTTCGTGCCGCCGTCTGGGAAAATCCGTCTCGAGGGACGTTGGGCGTCCGGGCCCAGCGTGCCCGGATTTCTGGGGCCCTGAAGCTCCTCGGCCCAGCTCTCCCGGCTCGGGGTGCCGTCCTTTTGACTCCCAGGTGCTCGATCGTGGACCCCTCTGGCCCCGGCCGCAGCCGTCCGGAGCTCGGGCCGCAGGCCGCCGAGGATCGCCACCGGGGACCGCCAGAGACCCCGGAGGGCCGCCACGACGGCCCCGGTGGCGCGCCAAAGGGGGGGAGGGCAGAGGGCAGAGGGGGCGGACCTTCGCAGAAGGCTGAGAGAAGGCCTCTGGCCTTCCGAAAATCAAGGGAAGAAAAATTCATCGCTGACCAATCCCCATCCCCATTCCCATCCCCTTCGAGAGCCCCACCAAATTACCCCCCAGTTGGGGATACGCCTCTCGAAACCCGAAGGGAGCGGCCTATATCCCCATCCAGGGGGGTAAATCAGCCAGTGGGGCCCGTGCCACGCCGCTGGGGATGGGGATCGGTTAAACGATACTCAAGTCACCTGGACGCGATCATTGGCGTTTGCTACACGGCTTCGGGCGTTTACTAAACAGTCTTGCCCTGTTCGATGCCTTCATTGGGTGCGTTTACCAAACGGCTTCGCTTGTCGGGGTGGTTCTGAGGGGGTGGATCTGTTTGTGCCGTCTAGGAGATCGACCAGAAAACAAGCGACACCATCCCACCCACGGCTCTCCATGTCGCGCTACGGGCCATTAGCGGGGGCCGTAGCGTTTGCCACGCAGAAGCCCATGCTGGAACTCATGCTTTCTCGCCGAGGCCCGTGGGGTCTGTGGGTGGGGTGCTGTCGTTATTTTTCTTGTCCAGCCGAGTTGTTCAAGCCTTCTCGTCGGCAGCAAATCGTGGGAATCGCGTATGCCCTCGCAATTCCGTCTTTAGCGTCGGTGATGCGTCGAATCGCAGAAACCGACAAGAAGCTCCGGGAAGCTTCCACGAGTTGCCCGAAAGGCCGGATGGTTTCCGAGGAGCCCCGCCGCCCTCTGAGGAGGCCCGCGCCCTCTGCTTCCCCTCGCGGGCTCGCCGCCGAAGAGAAGAAGTTCGAGCCGCATCGACCGTGATGCCCGGTTGGCGGAGGGGAGCAGTAATCCGTTGTTCGTGCGATGGCAACCATCACGTTGTGTTAGTCTTTGTTTATGAGTCTGCCTTTGTTGTCTTTCCCGCTGTCTCTATCTCTCTCTCTCCCTCTTTCTCTCTCGCTCTCTCTTTTCTCTCTCTCTCTCTCTATCTCTCTTTCCCAGCCAACCTGTGTTGTTGGGTCCTCGTTTTGAAGAGACGGTCCCCGCGTTCCTCCTCTCCTCCTCCCTCTTCCTCCCTCCTCCCCCTCCTTGCCTCTGCTCTCCGCATGTCTTTCTGTTTCGGCACACCCCTCACACGTTTCGTGGCCCCATAGGGAGCTCCACCTCAGGTGCCAGTGGCGCAGCCCGCATGGCATCCCCGCCCCAGTCTGGCGCACCGCTCACACGTTCCGTGGCCCCAAAAGGGAGCTCCAACTAAGTTCCCAGTGGCGCAGCCCGCATGGCATCCCCGCCCCAGTCTGGCGCACCGCTCACACGTTCCGTGGCCCCATAGGGAGCTCCAACTAAGTTCCCAGTGGCGCAGCCCGCATGGCATCCCCGCCCCAGTCTGGCGCACCGCTCACACGTTCCGTGGCCCCATAGGGAGCTCCAACTGAGGTCCCAGTGGCGCAGCCCGCATGGCATCCCCGCCCCATTCTGGCGCACCCCTCACACGTTCCGTGGCCCCATAGGGAGCTCCAACTAAGGTCCCAGTGGCGCAGCTTGCATGGCATCCCCGCCCCATTCTGGCGAACCGCTTACTTGTTTCGTGGCCCCGTAGGGAGCTCCAACTGAGGTCCCAGTGGCGCAGCCCGCATGGCATCCCCGCCCCATTCTGGCGAACCCCTTACACGTTCCGTGGCCCCGTAGGGAGCTCCAACTAAGGTCCCAGTGGCGCAGCCCGCATGGCATCCCCGCCCCATTCTGGCGAACCCCTCACGCGCTTCGTGGCCCCATGGGGAGCTCCAACTACGTTCCCAGCGGCAAGGTTCGCATGGCGGCCCCGCCCCATTCTGGCGCACACCTCACACGGTTCGTGGCCCCATAGGGAGCTCCACCGAAGGCCCCAGTGGCAGGGTTCGTATGTCGGCTCCGCCCCAGTTTGGCGCATCCCTCACACGCTTCATGGCCGCATTGGGAATTCCCCTTGCTTCGTCCCACCTGCCCTGCGGTACTCACATGTACACATGGTTGGGTCCTTCGCCAGGGTAATTCTATGGCTCTTGCGCTTTCTTTTTTCTCTCCGCGAGGCCCCCGACACGTAGAGTCCTTGTGCCTTGACCTCACACAACCAAGCATCTGCTCGCAAGATGGCTACGAAACGATTCCTCCTGTACCGACCATGCAAATGCAAAAGGATATCTTGCAATGGTGTCCACACTGATCTGTTGCAGCAGATTTTGTACAACTGAATCCTATGTGTGCCAGCGCCCACCCGCCCCGCATGTAAAGCCGTGTTGCGTGATCGCCTCACAAGGAATATCATTGCGCCGCTCGAGAAGGCTCTGGCCAGCAGGACTTCTGACGAATAATCCTTATTTTGGCGACCTTACACACTGATTTTAATTGTAGCGGATCTGCAACAAATCCTTATGTAAAGTTTGCTGCAACAGGATTTCAGTGAGGAGGCATTTGCGCCCCCCCCCCCAAACATCAACATCCTGGTGTAAGATCGCCACACAAGGTATCGCAATGCCAGGCCGCCACACAAGAAGGCTATGGCCAGCAGAACTTATGAAAGGGAGACAGGGGAAACTATCAAGACACATAAAGTATGCGTCACCTAACAGCTGAACATCTGAGCGCGCGAGTGACTATAGTTTGTTTATGTTGGTGTGTCTTGTTATCGACTGTAATACACATACGTTGGGATGTTGTGTGTGGTTTTCGTGTGTGTGTGTTTCCATAAGTTCGGCTGGGCAGAGTCCTCTTGTGTGAGGGCCTTGCGATGGGATTTTCGCTTGTGGCGGTATCACTCAAAAGCGTTTGGAGCGTGTGGGCTTTTCAAGAAAGTTATGTAGATGTAAGGGATGTGACCAACATGTTCGAAATTGGAGGCCATTACAAGCCCCCGCAATACAACATCGTCGGACAAGTAATTCATGTGTGGCGGTGTTATAGCAGGATTTTGATTGTGAGGGCATATGCACACAAGGAGTCCCTTTGCAAAGGTTTGTACAGCATGGTTTTCTTGTGCAGGGCTGCCTCATAAAGGTGATGAGGATGAGGGTGGTAAGGATGGTGAGGGTGGTGTCGATGAACATGAGACTTGGTGACTGGAGATGCAGCCAACCCGCATAGTTAGGACGAGCGACTTTCCACCGCTGTTCTTGCATCCTTCCCCTTCGGCCATATCCCTGGCCGCGCCGCTGGCCGCGCTCCGCCCGCACAGTATCGGCATGGCTCCAAGGCACGTGCATCCGTACCGCGCATCCTAATCCCACGGGTTGACCCCATCCCGCAACACTCTCGCTGCAACAGCACGAGCACAGGGCCAGACAGTGCCAGCGTGCAGGCGCCCCGCGCGGAGGCGGCAGCCCCTGCGGCGCCCTCCGGCGCAGCGAGGCCTGGCCCCGCCACCCCTCGAGTCGTCCCGGGCCACCGGGAGGCGAGCACGAGTGGGCCCTGGTGATCGGTGCCGAGGGCAGCAGGCCGCACTGGTGAGCAGGCACGGGCACGTATGGGCGCTGGTGGGCACGCATGGGCACTGGTGATCGATCGCCGACATATCGGCGATGCGGCTCGATCCGCAGACCCCATCTACTCGGACCCCATCTAGGGGTCCTCTGGGTGATCGATGCCGATGGCAGCAGGCCGCACTGGTGAGCAAGTATGGTCACTGGTGAGCACGTATGGGCGCTGGTGATCGCAGCGCAGCAATCTAAGTCTAGGCCTCCCGAAAGGGGTCCAAGGAGATGGGGTGGGAGAATCGCGCCGCGTCGCCGATGCATCGGCGATGCGTCTCGATGCGGAGCTCGACGTTCTCCACGCCGATGTCGCCCGTGCATCGCCGAGGTCACCAATACATCGGCGATGCATCGCCGAGGTGTCGGCGATGCGGCGCGATCCTCAGACCCCATCTACTCGGACTCCATCTAGGAGGCCTCCAGGTGATCAGTGCCGATGGCAGCAGGCCGGGTCGCCGCGCTGCTTCGCGGCGCAGCAGTCCGAGTGGATGGGGCGGCTGCCACGGGAGTTGTGGGCAGGCCACCGGGTCGTGGTGCTTCCTGGTTCCGAGAGGTCGTGGGCTGTATTGTCCGAAGCGGTGGCGCAGCTGCCCCCGCAGGTGCTCCGCCGCAGTGCGGCAGGCCGCAGGCAGCTGGGCAACAGGATCCTGCACCATAGCAGGCTGAGAACATCTTGGACGGAGCTCCTGAGCACCTCCCCCCCTGCAGTGTGGTCTGGCGGGGGCTCGGGAGGGACCGCCCCCCTCCCCCGGCCGGGCGCTGGCCCTCACCGTCCCGGCGCCCAGCGGGGCGGGCACGCTGTGGCGGGACAGTCTGGCCGCGCGCTGGCGAGCAGCAGGAGAGCGCCGCGTCCGCGGCGGGGCGGCGCGGGAGAGCGGCAGGGAGGCGCGCGGCCGTCCCGCATCCATCAGATCCTGGGATTGCCGAGTGCTCAGCGGAGAAGGAAAGGTACCTACACCTCTACCATGTCCTCGTTCTCCCCCACGTTGGGCCTCCTGGGGGGCCCTCGCCGCCACCGCTGGATTCGTTTCGAAGTTTTGGTCAGAACGCACCCCAGGAGAGGTCCGGGGAGTAGCGATATGGGTACCTTTTGGGTTCCCCAAGTACCAGATCTATGGGGACAGCCTTGGACTGAAGGCTCCGCGCGGCGCGAAATGGTTGTGTCACCTAATTAGTTCACGTCCGCCCCGTCAGACATGGGACGACGTTCGCGCGTCGATGTTACGACGTACGTCCGACGTACATCCGACGCAAATCCAACGGCAATTGGGTCTCAAGTTGTCTCGCGAGGTCTCCCGGACTTTCCGCGTAACCGAATTCGGGTGGCGCGCATTACCTTCGTTCAGAGACGCCGGAAGGGGAAATCTGTTTGGAAGGGCATGGGCCCCTATTCGCATCGTCCAGTCATCGCCCGTCGGGGCTTGGGTGCGACACTCTGTGCAGGAGCACTCGGCTGCGCCATCGGAGGTACACTGCCGATTCATCCGCAACGTATAGTCGATTCTAGGTCTCCCCTAGCCAGGCTCCTCTGGCATGCTCATCACCAGATGGTCAGGAGAGCCTAAGGCTGGCGCGGGTCTTCAGATTTCCGTTACAGGGTATGCGTTTGTTGTTGGCGCGTGTTCATGGGTTCCAAGTAAACGCGCCTTGCACGAGCTTGGACATGTTCTCTGTATGTACAGCATACTTTGTTTTCTGTTCGCGCGCGCCTCGTGCGTGTGAATGCGCGCGCCCGCCCCTTCCACAACCATTTGGCCTTTAGGGGTGGGTGGGAAATGTTTGATGTGCTTGACCTTGTCCGCAAGTGGGCAGACCATTTCAGCGAGGAGGGCAGCATATCGGTGCTTGCCCTCGTTGGCAGTGACGGCGCCCAGCTCAAACTCATGGCGCAGCCCCGCGGAAGGCAGTGTCTCGCTCCTTGGCGGGCTCTGGTCACCCGAGGGGGCGCCCAGAGTGCGACGGGGCTTCGACACTTCGACGCACTGCCGTCGTGAGCGACGCAGCTGAGCACCCAGTCGCCTCCTGTTTGGCGCCCTGCCCACGGCGCAGTGTCAGGATGTTCCGACCTACTGTAGCCTGGATCACCAGAAAGTCTTTCGAAGACCAGGAAAGGACCGAAATTGGAGGGTTCTCACGCTCTGATGTCCACGCGCGGGGGGTAGGGGCACCCCTCCAAAATCTCTCGGGGGTGTTGGCTGCCCCCCTAACCACAACATGCCCTCAAACGTGGACTGCACATCTCACGCGTCGGGCCTTGGGAGGCGACTGTCGTTCGACACTTCGCCAGCGCGTCGGGCAGACACTGCTTCGATACTTTTCTGGATGCTCCGAATTTGTTATGGGATGTGGTCCTTAAGTACGATGGTAACCACATCAGCGTAGGTGTTGCCCATCTTGGTGTTTCGCCCGCCCAGCTTCGTGGGTGAGCTTCGAAGGGTTTGGCGGGTCTCCGTACAGGGTCTCGCCAGCCCCGCCACGAGCAGTGGCGAAGTACGTACGGCATGACCACTCGCCCAACGAAAAGAGAAAGTAGCGTCATGGGCATCAAATCGCTTCGCCCATCTCCATGGATGAGGGGGCGTGTTGGATGGAGTGGAGCGGGGGCGGTGCTGCTGAACATACAGGTTGCTGCCCAATGTGTGCTACGACATGTCAAGTTGTTGTTCAGGCTCACGTTAGTTGTCCTGGAGGTGTTTGATCAGGGGATCCGTCGTTCAGATGTGGGCGCATCTGTGAGAGACGCATAAAGCACATCCGCAACGCTCAATTACAGTATTACGTGCACGTCGTTCGACGTCATCAAGCGAAAGCACGGGCACCCATGCCAGCTCAGCAGTTTTGGAAGCATCGTGTAAATCTGAAGCCTGCTCATCACGAGTTCCCTTCGTGTCGGAAGCCGTCGGGTCCAGTGGTCGGGGAGCATATCCATGTCCGCGGCCTCCGATGCGGCTCGATGCGGACGGAGCCCGACTTTCTGGACGCGGACGTCGCCGACGCATCGCTGATGCATGGGCGATGCATCGGCGATGCGGCGCGATCCGCCAGCCTCATCTACAGTCGGGGCGCTGAAGAAGGAACCCTTCTCGTTGGGGCGGGGCTCGACGTTCCCTGATTGTTTCACAGTTTGCCTTCGGTCGTACTGAGGATTTCCATGGGACATCGAAATCTAACCTATGGGGGGAAAAAGGCCTCGTTCCTTGTCTAGGGTTCCTTCAGGTCGGCGCCCCGACTGTACTCGGATTCCAGCTGGGAGGCCTCCCGTGCAACAGCAGCTCCTCGCCGCCCCATCGCACGCCTGCGGCGTGTGCCGCTGCAGGGCGGCTGCTGGCGCACCCGCGGGCGCCGCGCGCAGCGCGGCGAGCGCCCTGCTGTTGCAGCGCGCCGCCGCGCAGCAGGGCGCAGGCACGGCCGCGGGGGCGAGGGGCACGGAGGGTCACCGCGCGGGTGGTGATGCGGGGTGGCCCAGGGGTCGGGGGGTGAAGGGACAGGTCCAGCAGGGGCCGTTGAGGGCCCCCAGTGGGCACCAACTGGCTCCAGAAGGGACCCTGACGGGCTCCTTTCAGGGCCCTTATCTTCACTCCCCACTCGGGTCACCCCCCACTATCACCCGCCCGAGGGTCACCGGTCGATTTCTTTTGCTAGCCCCGGAGGTACCCTGAGAGCTGGGCGTTGCACTCTGTTACGCTAGGCGTTTTCGCCAGGTTCCGGGCCCCGGGCCTTCACAGACCGATGCGGCTGGAAGAATGGCGTCGTGAGACGTGGCTCTGGCGACCTCTGGGGCCGCTCAAGCATCGGCATTAGCAAGTCTTGGAATCCAATTGCGGTGGGAGCGTTCGCTGCGGGATGTGCCCAGGAAGATTCAGATCCTGAAGGATTATCTGATAAGGGCGGCGGCCATACCCATGGCCAAGCTCCAGTTGGTGGTGATCCACCCGGTACCGTGCCAATGCCACCACCATTCCCTCGTTTTCGCCTTTTTGTGGCGGCCCTCCTCGCCACGGCTGGATCCGCCTCGAAATTCTGGCCACGAAGGTGGCACTGGTCGGGAACGCGACCAAACGAGGAAGATATAAATCGGGGGGGCGGTCGCGGAGCCCAGCTGGAAAGTGGACGGTTGACAGATTGTAGCCAGTTCGTCGTCGTCGTCGTCGTGGTCGCCGCCGAAGTCGCCTTGCCGCAGCCAGCAACCCATACGAGACAGATTTGTTTTTCAAGCGTCCCTGACAAAGTTGTTGAATCGTTTGGTCGTGCAGTCGGTGGGTCGCGGGGATGGGGCACGAAGTCATAGGAGGAAAAGGCACCGATGCCGCCGCCCTTCCCTCCTGTTTCCCTTTTGGGGCCTCCTGGGAGGCCCTCGTCGCCACGGCTGGGTTCGCCTCGCAATGTCTGGACAGAATGCACCCGAGGGAGGTCCTGGGAGTGGCGGTATCGGCATCTTTCGGTTTGCCCACGAAGGGTGGACCAGGCCATCGGCACGATCGAAACGGAACGGAAAGAATGGGAGCGAAGGCCAGCAGCAGTTTGTTGTTCCCCACCATTCTGTGGTGTTGGGTCCTCGTTTTGAAGAGACGGTGCCCTGCGTCTCCTTCTCCTCCCGCTGCCCCCTCCCTCCTCCCTCCTCCCCATCCTTGCCTCTGCTCTCGGTATACCCCTCACACGTTTCGTAGCCCCATAGGGAGTTCCACCGAAGGTCCCAGTGGCACAGCCCGCATGCGGTTCCCCCACCCAGGGCAGCGTTTCGTAGCCCCATAGGGAGCTCCACCGAAGGTCCCAGTGGCACAGCCCGCATGCGGTTCCCCCGCCTGGGCAGCGCTTCGTACCCCCATATGGAGCTCCACCGAAGGCCCCAGTGGCAAAGCCCGCATGCGGCTCCCCCACCCAGGGCAGCGCTTCGTAGCCCCATAGGGAGCTCCACCGAAGGTCCCAGTGGCACAGCCCGCATGCGGTTCCCCCGCCCAGGGCAGCGCTTCGTACCTCCATAGGGAGCTCCACCGAAAGTCCCAGTGGCAAAGCCCGCATGCGGTTCCCCCACCCAGGGCAGCGTTTCGTAGCCCCATAGGGAGCTCCACCGAA